TGAGTTCTGTGGCAAGACCTTTGTGCACAAGTATCGACTGAAATGGCATGTCAACGGCGTCCACAAAAGTAAGTGCCCCTTTCCTAGTCGCTGCATCACCGATTCTCATGGCATCAGCTAACGTATTGATTACTTGCACAATGCTTTTTCTGCACATTTCCTTTATGATTGTCATGACCATAAACACAGCTTTAAGTCTTTTGTTCGCAGGACGAATAGCACTAGGTCTTCCCAGCCTGCCTAGTGCATATAATTGGCTAATTTTTTTAACGTTGAAACCAATTTTAAGATAATGGGTTGGAGATGGTGTAATGGTTACATTACTGGCTAGAATAAGGACCAGGCTTAGCGTTGAGTTTAGGCATTAAGTTCTTGTAAGAACTGGCTGATAAGCTTCTTGTGTAATTGTAAATCTGTCTTGGCTTTTGTTTTGCAGCTCAAATAACTGTAAATAATACTGTTGACCTTTTCGTATTGTTGTTAATAATGCAGTATTCCTTGATGCAGTGCTGCATTTCGTCAGCTGAATATACGCACCCGAAATCAGAAGTTATGCCAAAGGGTATTGAGATCCCTCGCTTAATCTTAATGTGATCCTATAGAAATAAACAGTAAGGTTACCAGTGCACGATAGGTAAAACATGCGAATTAGAAATCAAAAGGACGGTGGACATACGTTCAAGGTGCTTAGACGGGCAGTCAGGATCGATGCAGACGCGTTGCTGCCAGTTTATAAGGGAATAACTACATGGGGCAGGAGTCCACGAACCAGACGGCGAATAAGAACACGATGTAAGGAACAAAGAGTGTGGGGAGAGGTGAATAAGCACACGAGAATGAAGCTCGCAGTGTGTCAGCGAATGCGAAGGTAGTCAACGACAGGCGATAGTTTTTCTCCTTAAAATCCCACAAATGGCATTCAAAACTGGACTTGTGAATGATGCATAAGGAGTTTTTTTACTGTCTGCCCCCCTACCGCGGTTCCATTACTGGCAACGCCATATGTTCTGCATTAGCTATGTACAAAGAGGGAGTTCAAAGGTATTTACCTATATTTCCCTAATAGAACTGAACTGAACGAGGTCAAGGTGTCAGAATATGCGACAAGGCACGTGGGCAGGATGAAACAAAGCACGTGGACCATGAGATAACTAAGCGGGCTTAAGGACAAATGCTTCGGCCAAGTGGACCAAGTCCAAGTTATTACCAGGTAAAATCCAGATATGACATTAGCGGAATGAATGTCACCGATCTGTTAAGGGTTCCTGTTAGACCTGGAGTTAGGGTTACCGTTAGGGCTAGGCCGAAGGCCGGAGCTGAGTTAGGGTTAAGTTTAGAATTAGAATTGGGGTCAGTTTACGGGGTCAAGGCTAGGTTTGTGTAAGAGGTTGGGGGTCTGGCAGATATTATTGCTCCACTTGTTCTGGATTTTTTTACACGTCCATCAGTACGAGCACTGTTCCTCAAGATTGGAAGATTGGAGTCGTGAAGACTTTTTATAAATCGGGTGATAAATCGCTTCTCTCCAATTACAGGCCAGTAACCCTCACCTCGGTTTTAGTGAAGGTTCTCGAAACCTTCATGAAACAAGCGATCGACAATATCCTGGATCAAACCAACGGTTGGATTCAAGAGCAACAGGGTTCTACGCGCGGAATATCTTGTGCAACAAACCTGTTATTAGCCCGTGAGTCTTGGGCCGAATCGAAAGATATGGGTTGCCCAACACACGTGGTATTTAATGTCTTCAGTAAAGCGTTTGACCGGGTTTCTCACCAACTGATAGTAAACAAGTTA